ATATAACATTCTAAACCTATTTAAAATTCCAAAGCCACTTATATATAAATGCTACTGTCAGGATGAAGGAAAAGAAGAGGAAAAGAAAAACTCAGGATGGTACTACTTACTTGCACCAGTGATGTGGCAGGCAATAACCAAAACAGAAAGCACAAGGAAGACACGGTTACTCATTCTGACTGTAGAAGAAGACTCTCACTGCAGTCTTAAAGTTCACCCGGATGGCTTTTTGGTGCCCAGCCACCTTCAATTTATTTCCTAGGTCCCTCACTCCACGTCACCCAGCAAAGAGCTATTTTGGGCAACATGCAAAGTTGCATCACTCGATTTCCCATACATTTCCCTCTGAATTTACAGTGCTGAGGTTTGCAATTTGACAACCAAAACTATACTTAAATTAGGAATTGAAGAAACAGCACTTAAGCAATAAAGAAACAATATTTAAATTAGAAGGGTATAATAATATCCATCAAAAAGAAAAAGGAATTGCAGCTTAATATTACTTATATCCCTACAACAGGCTCCCAAGAGCAAAAGATGCCGTGCTACATGTGGCTTTCTGAACTGTGCAGTGGAGGAATTTGAGCAAGCAAGTACCTTGAAAATTGGCTGATTTTATGCCACTCAACATCTGCTGTGAATGTGGCCTGTTATCAGCTTGATAGGCAGTTGAAGTGGCAGCTGATCCAAAATGCAGCGTCAAGTAGCGGGTGCCCCATGGTACACCCACGAACACCACTTCTACGTGAGCTGCACTAGCACCCAATGAGCTTCTGGGTGCAATTCAAGGCACTGGTGGTCACCTTTAAAGATCTACATAGCATGGGGCCAGATTACTTGCAGGATCACTTATGCTGACAATGTAATGTTACAGCTATCAACCCAGTTTCTTTTGAATTGGATTTGTCTAGTTTGGTTGTGTTTTATTTCTGTTTGCCACCCAAAGTTCCTTGGGTAAATCTGATAACTTATGAAATACATCAGTAAATAATCCCACTCAAATCCTACTGTCCTACCTACTGTAATTGTGTGGCAGGCAGTGTACTGTATTTCTGGGAAGGATGAGTGAGGAACCCCAGGAATGTATGCAAGAGTAGTATCACCCAAGGCAGGAAGGTCATCCCAGCTGCCCAGCTAAAGCAAGTAGGCACCTGTATGGGGCAGCAGTGATACAGGAAGATGCTGGAGGCGGAAAATGACTTTACTGACAATGGCAAAGGCATCACTTCCTACTGTGCAGGAGAAGTCAATGGAAAACTGCTCCAATATTTCTACCAAGAAAGCCACATGGATAGACAAGATAAACCAACTGATGATATAATGCTGGATGATGGGCCCTCAGGTCAGATGGCCCTCAACCTGCCACTGAGGAAGAGCTGAGGATCTTTTGGAGTACTAATGGTGTTCACGATGTGGTGTTCACGATTAAAGCCTTTGGGATGTCTAGTTGCTGATGTTGCCAAACAGGAAAAGAAAATGTAAAGTGGCAAAAACAGAATTACAGTGGGATCATGGAATGTAAAAAAGCATGAGCCTGGGAAAGCTCAATGTAATGAGCAATGACATGAATCAGCTACACAGTGACATCTTAGCCATCAACAAAATGGAATAGAGTGGCATTGGACACTTTCAGTCAGAAGATCACACTGATTACTACTCAGAAAATTTTAAAAAATGAAGAAGGAAAGGTGTTGTTCTCTAATCAGGAAGGATACAGCAAGGGCAATATTTGGGTCAATGCAATCAATGACTGACTTTGAGGACAACCCTTTAATATGAAAATTTTAATAATAAAATTATCCAAGTTGATGCTTCAGCCACTGATGCAGAAGAAGAGGAGGTTGACCAGTCTGATGGTCAAGTTCAATCTAAAATCGACAGACCATGATAATGACACTACTCTGCTGGCTGAAAACCCAAATGATCTGCAATCTCTAGTCATGAAAGCGAAGCAGAACAGTCAAAAAAGTGGACTAAGATAAATATAAAGAAGACCAAACTAATGACAGTAGGTACAGCAACTAGCCTTAAAAATGATAATAAAGATATTGAAGTGATGAATAGATTCTGCTTTGTAGGAGAGATTATCAATAGTAAAGGAAGCAGCAGTCAAGAAATACACCATCAGCTATCACTTGGTACCGTGGCAATGAAAAGATACCCAGATATTGGGATCTGTCTCTACATCTATGTATAGATGTATAGACACTCCATAGAAGTGAAAGTTGGACTTTGAAGAAGCCAGATAGAAAGAGTATTGACAATCTTTAACTTTGGTATTGGAGAAGACTCCTGAAAATATCATGGATAGCCAAGAAAACAAATCAATATGGCGTTCTCACTCTTGTTGACCCAATAGTTAACCAACTCAGCTTCTCAAAGTCCACAGAGTACTGTGGGATTGGGGGAATCTAGGGGAGCAGTAATCATCTCAGACTGGTCCCCTTCAGATCCACAGATGGTGCCAAGTCTCATATTTTGTCATGTCCGCTTGATGACCTATTCCTGTTTCCGTAAATCTGAACCTTCTCATCTGACTTCAGGTGACCTTTCTGTCCTGGTAATTTATTATTCTAAATTTGTTCTTCAGACACTTGTATAGTCACAGGATTCCATTCTTGCCTGAGTTCACTTTTGTTGCATTCCTGTCTAAACATGGATAACTTTGGGCTGGATACCAATTGTACTATTAATATATAGCATCTGAACAAGACACAGTGGACATGCTCAAGAGTAAGAAAGCTTGTCTATCAGAGCACTACCAATTTTCTTCAGTTCTGAAATAACAGTGCAAAGGCAAATCTCCTCGCAACTTGAAATAGAATTGCGTACAAACAATGGAATTGCTAAAAGGTATAAACTTATACTGAACTTTGAAACAGAAGAGGAACAAGTGAAAGAATGTATGATAAAGTGAGCTAAAATTTTTGATTATAATATAGAGAGGAAACAATGGGAAAAATGTGTGGCTGAAAGGATTGAAATGTACATTATGTTATAACCTTAAAGAGAGAATTTTTATAAAATGATGTACCATTGGTATATATCACCAGAGAAATTGTCTGGAATGTAAAAAGGTATAGGTAGTCCCCAGATTAAGAACGAGTTCCGTTCCCATGGTCTGTCCTTAAGTTGAATTTGTATGTAAGCCAGAACAGTATTATTGTATAATACTGTATAAATAGTATTGTGTAATGAACTCGAACCATTGCATATTGTAAGCCAGAACAGTATTATTGTATAATACTGTATAAATAGTATTGTGTAATGAACTCGAACCATTGCATATTGTAAGCCAGAACAGTATTATTGTATAATACTGTATAAATAGTATTGTGTAATGAACTCGAACCATTGCATATTTAACTCGAATCACTGTGTATTTAACTTGAATTTTGCTACAATAGGGTCTGTTCTTAACTATGGGTTGTCTGTAAACCGGGCGTTCTTAACCCAGGGACTACCTGCACTTCAATTTTATGTTGGGAATGTGAACAACAAGAAGGGACATTTTATCGCATTTGGTGGATGTGTAAAAAAGCTAGAAATTTTAGATTCAAATGCGTACACTGATTCAGAGGATTTTAAAGATTAATATATGATTGAAACCAGAGATTTTTCTTTTGGGATTGATGGACAAACAGTTGGAAAAAAGTCATGGAACTTTGTTTTTGTATGTGATAACTGCAGCGTACACTGATTCAGAGGATTTTAAAGATTAATATATGATTGAAACCAGAGATTTTTCTTTTGGGATTGATGGACAAACAGTTGGAAAAAAGTCATGGAACTTTGTTTTTGTATGTGATAACTGCAGCGAGATCATTGTATGCCCAAAGATGGAAAGATTCGGCACTACCCACAATGGAGGAATGGTTGGTGAAGATGATGGAACTTGCTGAGATGGCCAAATTGACTTCTTTGATTAGAGAAAAGACAATGTTTTTTGCTGACTGGAAGCCCCTTATAGTCTTTTTGCGTGAAACATAAAAAAATGAACTTATGACTTATGGTTTTAATGATTAGACAGAGTAGATTATAGAAAGAAGAGAGTTATGTTGTAACCACAGAGTAAGAGGTAAACTTACAACTGTAATTATAACTACTGTAAAGAAGACTGGAAGCTATTTCTTTGTATCTCTTTTCTTTCTTTTCTATTTTTCTTTCATTTTTGTTTCCTCTCTTGCACTTTTAGCTTTCTCTTTGATTTCTTTCTTTCTTTTTCTTTTCTTTTTCTTACTTTATATTAGTTTGTATTCGTTTTTAATCTTTTTCTAAAAGAAATCTTCATTGGGGAGTTGTGAGGAGATTTTCATATATATGAAAATCTCCTCACAGCTCCCCAATGATTTGAGTTGAAATGTTGAAATGGAAAGGCCCTTGTACCAGTTACACCAGTTTAGTGGTAAAATCAGTAAACTGAGCAAGCATTTTTATCTTTGTTTCCCCTTCTCTGGTTTTGTTTGCACAGGAGAGACATTCTTATCTATTTGGCTTCAATAGGAGAGAAGACATTGACTTCCTCTTTGGATAAAGGCTTCATGGGAATGTCCCTATTTTCATAGATTGCTGTCTCTAAAGAATATGGAAGGGGATTTACAGCCACCACTAAAGGAGGAAAAGATCAGCAGAAAAATGTTAACAGTAAAAATGTGGTGAGGGTACAGGAAAGGCAGATGCAATGTCATAAGATGAACTCTTGGCCAGATAATAAACATTTGAATAAAATACATTTTATTCTCTGACATGGATTGATTTAAAAATCATTTAGTGTCTTCAGGGTTGGTTTAAGTTTATCTGAGGCAGGAGTTTATCAATGTTCTGCAGGTTATGATTTCTAAGCCCTTAAATCAACAACCACTTTCAGAAGCTCTGATTATTCATCATTCACTTCTGCATTTCCTGAAAGCACTTCCTGAAGACCCCACTATGGCATTGCCTTCAGTGTTTTCACTTTCTTTCCATTTTCCAGGAAAATTCTTACTATTGCATCTCCGTTCATGTCTTCATCTGTTCTTTCCAGCTTTTCTTGTGTATTCAGAAAAGTGGGGGTGGAATGCTTCAGATCTGATTCAGAAGATGTGCTTCAGAATCTGCGGGAATGTGACTACAACAGGAATGCAGATCAGCAACTCATTAAAGTAGGTATATCATTTTCCTTGGTGGTGCATCTGTTGTGGGAAAGCTGATATAGCTCCTTTAATAAA